CTCATCTTTGTTGCCATATTTATTACAACGTTTCGGCCCTTCAGTATCTGTCTATATTTCTGAGATGAGGTATTATGTACACTTTTTACATTATTCGGACTATTATCCTAATCTTTGTCGCCATATGTATTACAACATCTCGGCCGTTGTACGCTCCGGCCTTCTTCAGGTGGTTGGAATGTCGAACTGAACCATTTATTTCGGTCACTGGGGGAGACTGTTATAATTGGTAGTTAGATCCAGTGGTAGGACCCAAACAGTGCGAGTTCAATACCCGGTTAAGGCAGTAGAGATCTTGATGAGGGAGATAACTGATAACTGACATCCATTAAACATGGCAAGTGGAACTAGAAGAGTCTACCTCAGTGATCGAATTAAAGGGTTCACTTCAACATTTCAACCACCTGAAGAAGGCCGGAGCGTACAACGGCCGAAACGTTGTAATAAATATGGCGACAAAGATGAGGACAATAGTCCGAATAATGATGAACTATTTACTAATTATAACATCTGAAACATTAAACTAATATAATCATTTCGACGTTTTAAATATTTGTTTTCCTTTTCTTTTTGAATCAATTTACTCCAAGCAAGGCGATAATGCCACTAAGTTTCAGGGAGCTACTGAGAGTGCAATAGAATGAGAAGACTTTTGAACGGGTCCGGAAACCCGATCCTAAACAGGAAACAAGGAATAACCCTCTACTCCTCATCAAAAAGACTGGAGAGTGGTGTGAACCGCTAAACTAAAATCAAACATGTTATCTACTTGAAACACAATGAAAAATGCTAAAACATTCTTTTCCCTGCTTTGCTTGCTGCAAAGCCAAATAAATGTGATTTTGTCATATTGATATTATGTCAGTTCATGAAACTAATTTGAAGTTAACATCTAGAAAACTAAAATGATTGATTTCTAAAAGCTTGAATGTTAGGCTGCAGCTAATCTATAGGATAATCCGGCCCTGGTTCCTATGGTGTAGCCAATACTACCCTAAAGGATAATCCGAACCCAGGCCCTAGGCAGCAGCCTATACTAGCCGAAAGGATAATCCGTCCCCAGGTGCTAGGCAGCAGCCTATACTAGCCGAAAGGATAATCCGTCCCCAGGCCCTAGGCAGCAGCCTATACTAGCCGAAAGGATAATCCGTCCCCAGGTCCTAGGCAGCAGCCTATACTAGCCGAAAGGATAATCCGTCCCCAGGTCCTAGGCAGCAGCCTATACTAGCCGAAAGGATAATCCGTCCCCAGGTCCTAGGCAGCAGCCTGTACTAGACTAAAGGATAATCCGTACCCAGGCCCTAGGCTGCAGACTACATAGCCTAAAGGATAATCCAGCCCCAGGCCCTAGACAGCAGCCTATACTAGCCTAAAGGATAATCCAGCCCCAGGCCCTAGGCAGCAGCCTATACTAGCCGAAAGGATAATCCGGTCCTGGTCCCTATGCTGTAGCCTAGACTACCCTAAACTATAATCCGGCCTTGATAATATTAAAAGTCAGGTTTAGTTGGTTGATCTGACGACATGTTAATTCTCCTTAAGTTATTTAATGTTGAATATTTTATGGGACACTCGGTAGTAATGGCTGACCAGACTAGTTTCATTATCCTCAAGGTGAGGCACCCTTACATGTGATTTTGCGTGTGTCTATTTATATTATTTTAAATCGCACGGGGTCCCTACTTGCCTGGTCGACCATTCGCTAATGTAGAGAGATTATTTCTGATTAAAAGCTCAAAAGACCCACGAGATAGAAAGTTGTGGAAAGCCATAGTCGCCTATATCTTTATACGGCACGACACATCGAAGAAGAAACCTCAGTGAAGAGATCGTAAGGAACTGTGTTGTTACCATTGAGCCGTGATAAGCCAACTTGCCACCCAGTGCAATGGCAGGGTATTGAGTGCGAGGATAGACTGCCGTGAGGGAAATGGCACAAATGAGAGAGAGAGAGAGAGGGGGGAGCAAGGAAGGGGAGAGAGGGAGAGAGAAGTGGAAAGGGTCAGAGAGAGAGTTAAAAGAGAATTTGGAGTAAGAGAAATTGAATTACAATGTAAATAAGAGATTTGTTCAAAGAAGCAGAGGGACATGTTAAAAGAGAAAGAGAGAGAGAGAGAGAGAGAGAGAGGATGTTATGATAAAAGAGAGAAGATTGAGATTAAAAAGAGAAGTAAAAAAGAGAGACGTGGTGAGAGGCGAAAGAAAGAAAAAAATTGATGAGAAAGGTTTTTGGAGAAAAATAAAATAAAAGCAAAACGAAGAAAGAGTTAGCAGAGAGACTTCGAATATAACAGGGAACAACAATGAAACGAGAGGGAAACAATGAAAGAAGGAATTTGAAGAAAGAAAAATGGCGACTGAAGAAGGAGAGAAAGGGAAGTAAGTGTGTCAATCAAGATGGCGATTATAAAACCCGAAAATATAACAAATAATACGAAACAAGTGAACGAAAAGCAAGAAAGAAAAAGTAAATGTATAAATGCTGTATGGAGGAAGAAAA